TGATGAAAGACTAGCCATAAATAGTGTCACACATGGAGCCAGATACAATTAAACTTTAAACAAGAGATGGCTTAAAAAATGTTGATGTTGTATAAACCAGAAAATAGTTGAATAGTCAAAGGTCTACAACTTGTGATGTTCAGCTTTTACACCTCTCTGCTACAGTCAAAAAGTAGCTCAACTTTAATTTTTCTACAACTGACCAAGGCGTCTAATTAGTCTAATTTAAAATAAGTGCAGTGAAGCTGCAGCTAACAGTTGTTTTCATTATCAATTATTCTGCCCATTATTTTCTTGATAACCTATTATTTGCTTGGACTATAAACAGTTAGAAAGCAATAAAACCTATAGAACTTTTTAAAGCCAGAGCTGATGCCACCAAGTTACACCTTTTGTCCAACAAGCAGTATAAAACTCAAAGACAATCAGAAGCACTAAGAAGCTGGAACAAGCTAATGTTTATTATTTTTGCTTGATAAAGGACCAACAAATGGCTTAATCAATAATCAAAACAGTTGCTGATTGCTTTTCCATCAATCAACAAAATAACTGTTTCAAAAGTGAGGTATTGGTGTTCAGCTGAGGTTCCACCACTGTTTATGAAAAACCCAGCAGTGTGTGCAGCTTAGAGTAATATACTGTACATATTAAGGCAGCCTCTAACTTGCTGCCATCAACCTTTTACTTGCTTATAAAATAGCAGAAGATTGCTAAAACAACAGATGCTCACGTGAGTTGGCTTGTAGAATAAATAAAGTACAACTCAATATCCTGTTATTTTTTAATAAATGAGATTATAGTTACCAATGTCACAATATGTGCATCTCTCTATAATATATCTGACAACATGGCCTAAGAGGATAAAACTGTCACCATGTGTCCAAACATTTCTACTGAAGAAACAACACTACTTTTCACATTTATATTGGCTATTCCAAAACATACAGAGAACACTGTCAACAGTGATAAAACATCTGTTTTCAGCTGCAGATGTCTCCCCCAGTAGCACTTGGCCTCCACTAGAAAATTTCATCTTCCTCCACCTATCATTATGTTGCAGCTCACGAAGGAAATAGCAGCAATCAGCCTTGCAATCAGCACATTGTGTGTATTGTTTGGTACTTGTACCGTAGTTGTGCATTCCACCTCTAAATGATTATTTGGGCCTGTTTTCATTCTGGTCTAGTAAATAGCTCACACAGATGCAGCCAACTGCACCCACCTTGCTGTTAGGATTTTAAGCTTTGAGGATTGCTTGAGGATTGTTTGCACGTGCATCCTATGAAATGGCTCATCCAGGCAGCTGTATGTCAGGCAGTTTTATCTTGCTGATGGCTGTCTCTATAATATTTTGCAGTAGTTTTAAACATTAGTGTTTCAAACAAAGTTACATGTGGATTCGTCAGATTTTATGAAACTGACGCAGTGTAAGGTTAGAACAAGTGTCTGCTTTGGTTAAGGTTAGGGTAGGTTTATGTACAGACCCTGTCACTGACGACCACAAGGGGTGTGTGTGTGTGTGTGTGTGTGTGTGTGCACGCAGCTATGGTGCAATTATGCTTATGCATTGGTGTGTTAGTGTGTTACTGATTTAGGACTGTAACTTGTTTTATATGTTCATACATGGCTCATCATATACGTGTGTGTGTGTGTGTCTATACAACGTATGCTTCTGCACTGAGGCCTCACTAACAAGGGGAATGTCAGCTTGTTGCTAATCAGAGCTCATTAGAAGTGCAGGCAAACACTTGGAACCCCATTACCCCCCCACCACCATCACCACACAAACACACACACACACACACACTAATCTCTCTCCTGCCCCCCAAACACAAAGCCCCCTCTGTTTATAGACATTACCGCATGTGCAGCAAGAAAAAGGCCCAACGACCAGAAGAAAAAGGTAGAATAGAGGGAGTAGGAGGGTGAAGTGGTGAGGAGGAGGAA